CTGTGAGAGAGAGAGAGAGAGAGAGATGACGATGGGGACGACGACGACGCAGGCGTACGGTGAGTCGTGGTACTGGGATAACCGCTACGCCAACGAATCAGGGCCGTTCGATTGGTACCAGAAGTACCAATCTTTGGCGCCGCTCATCAATCTCTACGTCCCTCGCCACCCCAACCAACACCACCGCATCCTCGTCGTCGGTTGCGGCAACTCAGGTAAGCTCTTCCTTTTCCCTGCACCCGCACTTACCTGATCAGATCTCCCGTTGTTTGATCGCTCAAGAGAAATTCATCTGCAAAACGCAGCGTTCAGCGAAGGGATGGCTGATGATGGATACGATGATGTGGTTAGTATTGACATTTCCTCTGTGGTCATCCAAGCTATGCAGGACAAGTACTCTAATCGTCCACACCTCAAATGTAAGTCCTTTATTATTAAAATTTGCTCTTTTTTTTCTACTTATTTATTTATTTTTGCTCAATGTGCTCTGATTTTTTTTATTTAATAATTTATTAGATTTGCAAATGGATGTTCGAGATATGAGTGCTTTCCAAACTGATTCCTTTGATGCTGTTGTTGACAAAGGTGCTTCATTTTTAAGATCTCGATTGCACGCATAATTGAAACTTTGTTTTTGTGAAATAAATGCTGATTTTGCTTCATGTTATGATTTTTTTTTTCAGGAACTCTAGACTCTCTGTTGGTGAGTGTTACTAATTTATGTAGTGTGTTCTTGCTTCTTCTTTTTTTCTTTTGGCTTATGCGATTTGTTGTGCCTAGTGTGGAAGTAATTCGCGACAAAATGCTGCTGAAATGCTCGACGAAGTTTGGAGGTACATTAAAATTATTAGCTGTTAAATGTATTTACCCGAAGCTTTTGATTTTGTTTATTTTCTTGATTTGTTCACCATATATTGAAGCAGTTAATAACAAACTATAGGGTCCTCAAGGATAAAGGAGTCTATATTCTGGTAATGTTGCTTATTCTTGTTCTCTGCCTATGATTTCAATACACATTTTCCCACCCCCTTTTTCTTATTTTTTTTTTGGTTTTTGGTTTTGCATTTCACATTTGGCATGTGGCCATAACTAGTCTCAAACGCGCTGCTGCAGATCACATATGGAGCTCCATTGTATCGTTTGCATTTGTT